TGAGAATATTAGAAAAAATATCTTCTCGTACTATACTATCAAGGCGTTCATTATTGTTACTGAATAATGAATAAAGAACATCAATATTGTTCAGTTTCTTCAAAATGTTAAATAACATCTCATTAGATAAATCAAGAAGATGAACATTAGAATGATTCATATTTAATACTGACTTTGACATATTAATCAATATGGATAAACCTATGTACACTGTTTAAATGTTCTTTGTATTGAGTAATCTCATCTATTGAGACAAAAAATTGAGAAAAGCCTACAATGAATGTAATGAGAGTATACTTACAAAGATAACATTTGTTTTTCAAATATGACCATCTGACAGGAAATTTATTATAAAAATTATATAAAAACTTTTAATATTTTATATGAAACTTTTTGTCTAAGAGCAAAGATGGCGTCATACTACGTTTCCTATCCAGTTGTATTGTTCTTTTAATACATTTGTTCGGTTATAAAACAAACTTCATCAACAATTGTAACTATATGAGAATATCTTCTGCAAAAAAATTTTGAAATAAAAAGAAATCGAATAGAAAAAGAAAAGTTCATTAAACATCAATGTTTCTAATAGAAATCTACAGAAAAAATTCAAATGATATTTTTTGTTCTTAATGAAAGTGTAAAATGATAAAACATTTTTTGAGAAAGTATTATATCTTTTAGTATTTCTGAACTTTTTCATTAAAAGCAGATATTCAGAAATTTCATTTTTGTAACACAGAACAAAAGATTAATTTGAGTTGAGGTAATATTAAAAATAGTGAAATGAAAAAAAAAAGTATCGTTCTAAAACCATTTATGAAAAAGTAGTGTTTGTCTTAATAAGTTCTATATTCATCGATGAGCCAGATAACAGGTTTTTAAACGATGAAAATCTTAGGTTTTTCTTGTACTTCTAATAAATATCTAAAAAACTAGATTGAATCTAAAACTGGATTCCAGTAAGTCTAATAGCTCTTTGATAAAAAGTTAATTTTATTAATTCAAATATTATTTACATACGAAATATTGACATTTTAGTGATATTCTAATTGTGTGAATAGGATTTTCATATTGGAAAACTATTTCATTCGTCTTGTATCTAAACACTTATCATGTATGGAAGATGATAATAATTGTTTTAAAAGAGATTAATTTATAGGAAAATTCTTTGTATATATTAGAGAACAAACCAATTTATATAAAAGTTAACAAAATGATATTTTAGTTTTGTTTAAATATTAAATGTCGATATTTCGAGAAGAAAAACACTATTCCACACCCTCCAGAATGAGACATAACATCAAGAAGGACATAAGTACATTTAGAGACTTGTAAATATGTCTTATGGTGGTCGAGTGTACTTGAAATTATTGAAAGTGTTGACTTTCTATAAAAAAGATTAGTAGAAAAAGATCCTGAGGATGTGGATATGGTCGATATGTGAATGTCTCTCTTGTTATCATTTTACGCCGATATTCACACTAACATCGCAATCCTCATAGCCACAGCCACACGTGCACACACCTTTTCTTAGTAAAAGTGATTTGACTATACTATATTCGTTACTCGTTCTGTGCAATATTTTATGAAATATATCTGCACACTTATTCTCGAAAGCTAACACTTTAGTAAAGATTATTATTAAGCTAATGTACATTTTTATTCAATATGATTCGATCGATTTTATCATCATGATTTATAAATATGATAGATTCTCAAAAAATTAATATTACTTGAATTTTGAGTTTTGTTAAAAGAAAAAGAGTTAGTGATTTATCTTGAGTAGTTGTAAAACAAGTATTAATCTTCATCTCCGTAATTTTTGTTTGTTTTAATCAAAATATATATGAATAATTTTATTTCTGATCTATGCTATTATCAATTGGTCATTATTGACTCTTATATCAAACATGTCGGTTTTTAACGTTTAATATCAATAATTACATAAATTCTAAATAAATGAGTTCATCTAATAAATATAAACTAAAATAAATTCAATATTATTCATTTGCTACAATAATTATTATTTTAGTTTTTTTTGTTTTATTGAAAATGATTTTTATTGGATAGTTAAGAAACTGTCTCGAATAAAAGTTCATTTTAATCCAATGAACAAATGATGCATTAATCAACTTCATGTTAAAATATATTTCCGAGAAACAAATATTTCAAATCAAGATCAATACAAGAAGTGATAAAATCATTGGAATGACTTCATCACGAATACTTCTTACTATTAGAAGATTATAAAAATTATTTTCGATCAATACTATAAATCAACATTATATTCAATGCATATCAGTTGCTGAAATCAAAATTTATTTTCTTTTTTTTAAAATAATATAATGAAGAATTATTGAATGGAACATTTTATCACAGAATAATTAAAAAAAAATAAGTCACATAACACTAGAATATATCAAAATTCAAACTAAATAATTTATTTGTTTTTATCCTTGTCAACCATTAAATGATTATTTATTTAAATAGCTATCTTCCTAATTCATGCAACATTTTAGAATAGAATTTTATAATAATTAAAGATTATTCAGATTTGTCTCAAGGAGTAAGAAAAAAAAATGTCAAATACTGGACATTGAAAATCTTGTTTTGTATAATATTCTCATGAAACTAGTCTTCATTAATGTTCTGGTTATTAACGCAACGAATAATGATATTCTATACTACGCATACTTTATTTCCATATGAGAAAGATTATTATGTATTATAGCAAAATGACGCTATGGAAAAATCTAAATGATCTGAGATTTGCCTCTACATAAATATATCCATCAAATATAGAATGACTACTTTGTGTGGATTTCACCTATCACTAATACAGTTCATTAGTCACATTAACGCTGTTGGTAGTCAATAGTATTGACTAATATAAAGAGGGAAGAAAACCATCGATGCGAAAAGAAAGAAAAAAAAAGCTATGAAATACAAAATGTATATAAACAGCATCAACTAATTCATGTACCATTACAATACAAAAAACATTGGACATACAAGACAAGTAAATCCTAAGTAAGTTATACTTCCATTGGAAGCTCAAATTATATTTGCAATTTAAGAAACTCATGAAGGCAGTATATATTTAATACAAAATAGTAACAGATTATATTTGTCAATATAAATATGAATTGAGGAAGAAGATCTTCAACTTTCTGAACATAAAAATCAAAGTTTTTTTATACTTAAGTTTTCATCACTAATACAGTTTCAAAGTGTTCTCTATCAAATGTCATATAAATGAGTACTCTTCGTTATTATTTAGTGCTTTTATTAAATTCATCTTTCAAAAATAACTAGCAGAAAATTCGTCCTAAAAGTATTTTATTGTATACAAAACTTTTCTTTATGATAATGATTATTATTTCACATTCGAAAGATTCGAAGAGCATGAGTCGTAGGTCGTCTAATATCACCATGCAATGTGGCTAGTTTCTGATCAGTTTATTTGTCGAAACGAGTTATAACACAAAAGAAGTATAGAATTGTACGCAGCTTCTCCATCACGATATGTTCGATAGAGTTGAAAGTATTATTGAAGGAATTATTTGTAGTTAGCCAAGATTACTTATGTTTTGTTTTCAAACAATATTGTTCCATTGATTTTTAGTATGATTTTGAAAAAGAACTATAGTGAAAAGAAAGATATGTTGTTTTTTGGGAATAGTTTATGCATTAATGAAAATATTTTTTAAATCGAAGTATTACCATTCAACCATTCGATGAACATTTTTGATGTATTACTCATAAGTTTGTCAAATTGATTGAATAGTAAGATAGTTGTTATATGAATATTGATTCTATTTTCATTACTACTGTTAAATATACACTATATAAAATGTACACGAAAGAATTGAGAATATTTGATTTTATTTAGTAAAAAGTTTCCAAAATTCATACAATGGTTATGTGGTTATTTTGGATTACTGTTTGTTTGGCTATTGGACAATTGACTCATTCATCTCCAGTAGGCAATAAACCTTCTTCACTTGATTCAGTAATAGGGACAGCTGTAACAGCAGATGACATATCCTCCAGTAATGTTCATCAAACGAGATCGGTTAGAAGCAACGAAAAAGGTGATGATGATGATGATGATCTTAATTCTCTACATAATGTCAAACTCCGAAGTATCAGCGATGATTATCGACGTAAAGTATTTGATCTGACAAATCAGGCACGTCAGCAAGGTCGCTACTGTGGTCAGACTTGGTATCCCGCCACAACGCAACTTTCGTGGAATGATCGATTGAGTGCCGCTGCACAAAAGCATGCTGCAAGCATGCTATATTATAATTATTTTTCTCATACAGGTATAGATGGAAGTAGTTTTGTAGATCGTATAGCAGCTGAAGGCTATTCGAGAAGTTGTGCTGGTGGTGAGAATATTGCTGGCAATCAAACTCCTGAGGCGACAGTTACTGCTTGGCTCAGAAGCTCGGGACATTGTGCCAATATTATGAACAGAAATTTTAAAGCAATTGGCGTTGGATATGCCCAAGGTGGTCGTTACGGAGGTTACTGGGTTCAAAATTTTGGCTACTGCTAAATAATTTGATTGTTGTCCTAGTACTGTGAACATTCTTTTCTGTCTTTTTTAAAAACTCTTATTATATATTTAATCTTATTATCTTTTTCTTCATATGTATTGAAGAATTCAATCACTAATAAAGGATCCTGTCCAATTTTATCGAGTTACTCATTTAGAAAAACCACACATAGAGTTTTGTAGAGCTCGAAAAGTTACATCTAATGGTATATAAATCAAACTGCTTGCTATTCAATTTCAAAAATTTCTCCTACATGAAATCTTGCGAAGGTACTACCAAATATCTAAGAAAAACAAAATCATTCTATCATATGAAAATAGTCCTTTTTTAGTCGTTAGCAGACTATCATAACAATTTTTGTCTTATTTGGTCTTGTAGTGCTTTTTTCGTTCTACAATTTGGCTTATTTCATTATCTCGTTCTAAAGGAGGAAAAAATGTATTTAATTGGAAACATCAATCTTTTTCATCAAAAAAATGCCAACAATCAGGAATTTCAATTTTATTGATATTTTTATGGTCTTTCGTTATTTTTGAAGACTTACTGATACCAACATGATCTTTTTCTCAGAAGTTTTTCTAATCATGATCTATCATTAGCCATAAAACCATATTAAAAATCAAGTGACTCGAAGAGAAACATAGTCAACACTGTAACGAGTTCGCAGATTTCTTCTTTCTTTATTTAACCCTTCGAGTTCTGGCTTTTTTTGGCAAAAATTCAAATTTTTATAGCAATATTTAAATATGATTTTCATGTTTCTAAGGAATTGCACATTCTTATCAAAGAAATGTCATTAGTTCATTTATCTATGATAGTTTTCAAAACAACCCTCAACACGTAGGTTGACATATACTGATGTATAGATTGTATCATTTTTTCACATATAGTCACACATACACATAGTTGAGTTGAAAGAACTCCTTATAAGGTGACAAAAAGGAGTTTTCTTATTTCAAAAAATCCTAAAATAATGATAAAACGAAGAAGAACAACAATCTTAATCACGGCTTAGTTCTTGATATAATGGTAAAAAAAATAGTTTTTCAATTAATCAAAGAGTATGTTAATAACACCTTTCTGAAATAAATGCATTCGAACTTGTTTTTACGTCGTTGGTATTCGAGACCAAATAATAGGACGTATATATACGTTGCCGGAACTCAAAGGGTTAATGATCGATCTGTTATTTTAGAATCTATACTTTGTCGATTAGAATGAACAAGAGTAAAAAGTTTAGTTATTTGTAAACCTAATTCGACATCGATTACATTTTATGTTGATTCATCAATTGATGAATTTCATATTAATATATCATCAGTAGGTTAGTAGAATGTTTTTTTTACGGATCTTGATTTAAGTATTTTGTATAAGTTAGTTGTCTTTCTCTCTAGACTACAATCAATTTATTAATATAATTTTCAGATTATACGTCTACTTCAGAATTTAATTTTTTTTGTCTGAAATTGACTCAAATCGGACACTGTTAAACGATCAACAAGCGTTAGAAAAATGAAAGAAGTAGTAAAGTAAATAGCATAGAAATCTCCAACCGGTATTATCAAAACTTACATTGTGTCTTATATTTTAATCTCATATGGATTCTTCTAAAATTTATTGTTTTTTGTTTTTTCGGAAGGTGAAACGCTTGACATCAATCAAATAGAATTGTTTAGGCTAAATAATTCTTCGTATTCACTTACTACTAATCTCATTGGTACAAAACATTTGTATATGTGGAAAATTTTTGCAACCACAAGTTGACACGTGCGGTTTAACAACATCATGATTATCTCAAACAAATAATCCTAATGTTCAAATTCAAGGTAAATCAAGCGTTTCATGTTCATCTAGTTTACAGAAAGATATGAAAGCAAATGTGGATACTAATGCGTATACAGAATGAACAACAAAACCTCTGATTGATTCAGATTTACTGATTTTGACGACAGGTGAGAATGGTAATTTTACTTATGCTCATATTTCTCTTATAGATCAATATGGTCAAGTTATCGAAACTTACTCACCATTGAAACTAGATCAACTTGAAATAGTAACGAAAATACGTGTTTCTCGACAAGCATTTCGAATTCAAGCATTACTTCAATTATCTAATGGTACTCCAATTCAACGTAATGAAAAATAACTTGTTTCACCAATAATATTTATTATTGAATTAACAAATCAATCATATATATTATCAATTGGTGAGATGATTCAAATAAATTATACTCTAGAAAGTTTATTACGTGAACAAGTTTCTATACGTCTGTAAATAAGTAATACATTGCATTCGCTTAATACTCATGATATCGAAAACAATTTAACATTTACTAATGAAATATCTCCAACGGAGTTATTGACATTACCAGGAAATTTTCAACAAAAATCAATAAGCAATATGATCACATTTACTTTGTCAACATATAACAATAAAATAGATGAGTTTGAATACGAAAATGATGAAATAGCACATATTTATTTTGAATTGAATTCATCTTTTATTACATATTAACTTCTACAAATAAAAAGCGAACAACATGTTAGAACCAATTATTTTCAAGTCATATCATGTTTCAAGTATCAAATCATTACTTGCTGTGTCTACAAGAATTGTCAAATTTATAAGTCTCCATATATATCATCGAAGAAAACTTATCTTGTATTTTCAAAAGTCTCACTTTAATATGTTGTCAGTTGCCATATTCTATTATACGCTCTTAATACAACGTTCTCATCAAAACAGATTATATGTATTCTTACATACAATCAAAAAACTAAATGACAACAACAAGAAAATCTCAAAAATTCTTTTATTCCTTGTTTTCTTTTGATGTTTAGTTCTTCAACATTGACAAAATAAAAAACAAGATCGAACTTTATGTTTAAGGCATGTTCTTTCTTCTTTTAAACTAGTTCTTGTATGTTATCCACAAAAGAAAAGAATTTCTATTTTCCATATATTCTATTATTTAATCTGTCTTAATTATTTTATTTTGATGAGTATCTATGCTTACAATAGTATTCAGATTATTCTCTCACGATCTGTCATGAATCAAAAACAAATTATATATTTCTTAGATGATAACATCGGGTTTTACAACTCTCTGTCTCTCTTCTCTTCTCACCATCATGACTGATTAGTTTTTCGACAACTTTTCTTTCTTTTCAGAATTCCATATATAAACCGTCTTTTATTCTTAAAAATAAGACATACCGTAATTGCAGTTGAAAAACCATTATTTTCGATAGATTGCTAAACTTGAAATAAAGAATCATGTAAATATGTCATTTTGACGTCTAAATGTGAATAAATTGTATACGAGTTAATGAAAACATGTACTAACATGCATATATAATTTATATACTTTATCTATAGAATGAGTATCCTGAATTTTCGATAGATCAATATAATGTTGCTTCAGACTAAACATTAACCAACATTAGATTTGATTTTACACTGATAAAATGTTTAATGAATAGCTGAGAACTTTATACTGAACGTGATATGCTTATATTGGATTTACCGGTACACTTTTCAAATACTGTTTTCTTCTGAACGGTGAGAAACAATTTCATAATTTACTTACTTATTATTTCCTAGTATTCATCTTTACGAAAATTATTCATCAAAACAAAACTAGAGTTTCTTTCTGGTGTAATGTGTTTTCTATGTTTACAATAATCAGTGTTTTTCAGAGATCTTTTCTTCTAAACATATGAATCCGTTTTAATACATCAATGAATTTCTACTAGTAATAAAATATCCGAACAATAAATTCTATAATATACATCGAAAGTGTTGATTTTACGCTTAGAAAAATGTGTTTGAACAATTGATAGTTTTGCTTTTCTTTTCATCATCATCATCATGTCCCATAGGCTTAGCGCCCGTTGGGGCCAACCATTTTTACGGGATCAGATTTTTCCACGCCTGTCGGTCTTGTGCGAGGTGGAACAGCTCTTGTCCACTGCGTT